ATAATTCCTTCATCTCACAAACATATTCCACTGTACTTAAAAAGGCCACAGTACTGAGAAAAGCCACAGTACTGAGAAAGGCCACAGTACTGAGAGAGGCCACAGTACTGAGAAAGGCCACAGTACTGAGAAAGGCCATGGAAGACAGTTTTATGGTATTCGTTACTCGTTATATGGTAGCTAATAACACACTTGCTAGGTGGACTTAATTCCAAGTATAGCGGATGTACTAGAACCCACGTTTGGAGAAGTACATAATAATAATAGAGGTTTAAATGCCTTTCATAACCCCGTAGGTGACTCTCTTGTTTTTTTAATTGTGGAACATTTTGACATCTATTATGTTGCCTTGTTGGGAGACAGTGAAGGTAAGGAAAAGTTAAAATACCATTGGCTCTCTCTCTCTCTCTCTCTCTCTCTCTCTCTCTCTCTCTCTCTCTCTCTCTCTCTCTCTCTCTCTCTCTCTCTCTCTCTCTCTCTCTCTCTCTCTCTCCTCTCTCTCTCTCTCTCTCTCTCTCTCTCTCTCTCTCTCTCTCTCTCTCTCTCTCTCTCTCTCTCTCTCTCTCTCTCTCTCTCTCTCTCTCTCTCTCTCTGTGTCAGCACTACTTTCTCCACCTTATATAGAGAGACAGATAGATAGCGGGTCTCCTTAGTGGTCTTTGTGTCGTAAAATAAATAAATAAACTTGAAAACAACTTTTTCACTCAAGCAACAAAGGTTTCTGTTATTAATTCATTAGGCGAGATAGAAGAATAACTGGAGGGTAGATTGGTGGTGAGTCATGCTGTCATTGTTTCTGATTGTATTTGTTTATTGTTCTTGTTGTATTTGTTTCTTATACTTGTTAGCTTCGCACGAGCGAAAGCTGGTGGACGACCATACTACATGTGTGTGTGTATATATATATATATATATATATATATATATAAAATATATATATATATATATATATATATATATATATATATATATATATATATATATATATATATATATATACCTAAGATTATCTTAATCATCGATAAGAAAAATATTAATATGTAAATATTATTTCTGAAGCTATGTAGCTTTATCATCACTAACATCAACAATAGTTTTTTATCGTACAAAATATTCACTATGATTGTTTTGTTGTTATTGTTGTTAATGTCAGCTGATAGTACCGTAGAGGTGAAAGGTCATATAAACCGATTATCATTTTGTGTGATCATTAAAATATAAAATTTTGTAATGTAGGATTACAAGTATATATATATATATATATATATATATATATATATATATATATATATATATATATATATATATATATATATATATATATATATATATAATAAAAACGTGTTTATGTGTGTGTTTTTCTATTATTTTAACAAAAGGCAATGTTGGTAAGGATATGGCAATAAGCTGCGTCAGTACGGGATGTTTGGATCTAGCAAGGAGGAAATACGTTTTCAGTCCTTCAGTCAATGATTTAATTAATTAGGATTGATATTAATAGAGCTGCCCGAAGGAGGTAAAATACACGCGTTGTTTAGTGGACAGTTCTCATAAGTGTGTGAGACCTGCTAAGTCAATTCGTCACGGTGAATATCATTTGCTGAGGATTTTCACACAAGAGACTGTAGCTTGTGCGACAGTGGTCAGATAAGGTTAAGTAAAGTGTTGGCGACGCGAGGAGCAGCGAGTGTTTGTGGCCCGCCCCAGCACAGGGTCGCTCGCCTTACATGGTCACGACCAGACCAGCCGCTACGGTGAGAGAGAGTTGGTCCCCTGACATGTCTACTCTGACCTAATTTTCACCCAGTTAAGAGTAACACCCATGTAGAATTTTCCAGTTAGAGTAAAATTCTAGTACGTATCATCAGGGTCATGGCAGGACTGTGTAACATTTGTCGACCAGAGAGACACAGGTGAGTGCTAGTAGGAACAGGTGTGTGCTGGAGAGGCGACCACCTGGCCACAACACATTCTCGTCACGTAACTAATACCTGAGACAACAGTACACTTTCGCTGCCTCGCCACACACTTATTATCTAAATAGAGATTATACATACACATTAGATATACAATAATGACACGTATAGATGAAAGCCAACTAGGGAAAGTAATTCACACACTCACCATCAGGTATTGTGTATCTGGTCTATGTTTTTGTGAATGTGTGAGTCACCGGTGGCTCCTCAGACCTCCGCCCACTCTTACCATGGTTCAGTGTGGGTATTAAACCTCTCCTTGTTACTCATCCACCCTGGTATACTGTAGTCCTGTATGAGTGACATGTACCTCTCCTAGTCACTCGTCCTGCCAAGTCTAATGTGCTATATACTATGAGTGTTGGGTTGGTAGTGGTGTGGGATTAATGTTGTGTTGGTCTAATGGTTAACAATAGCCATCGGGACTTATGGTCAGTTTCATATTGCTTCTCTGTCATTGTTGTTAATTTCCATAAAATAGACAAAATCTCGATGAAAAAACTTTAACATAGGTCTAGCGTAAATGCAGTGTTTATAAAGGGTGTTAATTGATCTTGCTTATGTTTGTTTCTCTGGTAAAGAAGATTCTGTGCAGTTACAGGTCTAAACTTTGTCTTCAACATGCTCAATCGACATAAATTTGTAAAGGATTTAGTTGTTACTGTATATTAAAACCTTAAAATAATTACCTAGGGGGGATTAGCTTTATACATACTCGCTCTGACAGGTGAGGAACCGCTGGGCAGCTGTGTGTAGTGTTGGTGTCATACTAAGGTGATGTTGACAGCTGCCTCTCTTGAAACACTTATATTACATGAAAAGATGAGGAATTAGTTACTATGATTTATCAGCATTATATAAATAGTTAATTCTTAATTGATGTTCCCCGCTCATACCTCCAGTGACGTCACAGTATCCGGGGACTGCCAGGATCTTTAAAATTGATAATTGGATTTTGATTTTTGTTTACAGGATTCATGATTCTTTTGTCATAAGAGTATATCAGTAACCCTTGAGTGTTGCTTAGAAATGTAGTTTTCTTTGGGATTCCTCATTCAAGTATTCATTATTCATGCTACCGTCCTCAGCCATTTCAAGTTATTCACCAGCAAACATTATCCTTATTCAGAGAGACAACTTACATGGCCGCTACATTTGAGTTGTATCTCTCGTACGCATCAAGCACCTGTTATCTTGGCATACGACAAGCCCTAACACTACCTATGATAAGTCTTAGTTACAATTTAATGTGGCTTTACCATCACATACTCCAGGGTGCCATACTTCTTGACTTGTACTTGAGAGTTTTTATTTATTTTTCCTCAAGATCCATCCAATCAATCCAACGAGATGTTTTATCTGAGTTAACGATGGTAGGGAACAGCTCACCTGCCTCACTGACTTAGGAGAGGTTACTTAGCTCGTTCCCGGCCACTTTTGTTATTTTTTTTAAGCCTCACATTAAATACAATTTATCCTCTGTTCTCAGCTATAAGTTCCTGTACTGAATTATATATACGATGTTACACTCACGTTCATTATAGGTAAAGGAATATTACCCTCTATATATATTTACAACAAATCCTGCATTCATTATTATGTATTTTTATTTTATTTTTATTTTTTTATCTTGATTTCTATTTTTGTGGCATTGAATATGTATTGGTTGTATATGTGAACAGTGGCATAAATCAATTTACTGATATGTGTTGTTTGTGAAATTTTTATAAGTACATAGTTCATTAAGTTATCCAGCACATCACCTGATTCACCTGGCCTCATCATCACCTTTACCTTACACCGGTTGATCACCTTAAGTGGTGTATAATCCTCAAAGGCTCGTAAGATGAACCTCCTCGTAGCTGAGAATATATGAATACGCATCTCTGGCTCATTTAAGCTCCGGCGTAAAGACAGAAGTCAAAATTAAGTCAAAGGTGACGCCTCCATCACACTATTTCCTCCATCACACTGCCCCTTTCATCACTGATTTGGCCAGACTCCTTACGGGCTTTTAGCATACCTGGACCACAGTGTGATTACCTGTCTGTCACTCCACACGCCCCATCACGCCTTCCTTCCTTCCTTCCTCTATTTCATCCTCCCTCCTCCCCTCCCTCCCTCTCCTCTTCCTTCCCTCCTTCCTCTCCCTCCCTCCCTCTTTTTCTTCTACCTTCTCCTTTCAGCCTTCCTATTTCCTTGTCCCTCCCTCCCTCCCTCCCTCCTCGCTCAGGCCATAGGTACAGTTCCGTTCAGAAGTTCGTGGTACACTGGCGGTGAAGGGTACATAGCCTGTTGTACCCTTCCTGGACGACAGGTAACTTCCGTTTATCGTTATAATTTTTCTCCCTTCTTATTTACGTCTTGCGGAGCAGCTCGAGGTGAATTAGAAAATTATACCAGTTATGAACAGATTCTTTGTTCGCGATACCCAAAAAAGCCAACATGAAGCAGAAAAACAAAAAAGCATCGCTGGCGGTAAAGCCTGTGGCACTGGAACCTGTTTAAGGCGACCAAGGACAACGCCCCAATGGTATTTAAATCCTCTTCTGACTGTGTGTTTTTTTTGAAGGTATCTTTAAACATCATGATACCCCTTTTCATTGCGTTTATATTCTTTCAAGGTTTTCTAATTCAAGAAGATAAAATAAGTAGTAATTTTTCGTTTATCAGTTACTAATTTCCTGCTGGAGATAGGGGATGGGGGACGCTGGCAGCTTTCTAAGAGGGTGGTTGAGCAGCTGGGTGACTAACCATTCTACTGTATAAGTCAGCTGGTTACTCCACCCCCACCTGCGGTCACTGGTCGGGGGTGAGGGTGGGTAGGGGGATTCCTTCTGGGGACTCCTGCTGGTGCTGACTCCTGTGGGGGACTCCTGCTGGTGCCGACTCCTGTGGGGGACTCTGATGATCTCCTGTGTGGGGAGACTCCCTGGTGTCTCTGTGTGTGTGTGGGGGAGGGACTACTGCTGGTGATTCCTGTGGGGGAGACTCCTGCTGGTGTCTCGTGTGTGTGGGGGACAACTACTGGTGACTCCTGTGGGGACTCCTGCTGGTGTCTCCTGTGTGGGGAGACTCCTGCTGGTGTCTCGAGTGTGTGTGTGGGGGACTCCTGCTGGTGACTCCTGTGGGGGAGACTCCTGCTGGTGACTCCTGTGGGGAGACTCCTGCTGGTGACTCCTGTGGGGGAGACTCCTGCTGTGACTCCTGTGGGGAGACTCCTGCTGGTGACTCCTGTGGGGACTCTGCTGGTGACTCCTGTGGGGACTCCTGCTGGTGACTCCTGTGTGGGGAGACTCCTGCTGGTGTCTCGTGTGTGTGTGGGGGGGGGGACTCCTGCTGGTGACTCCTGTGGGGGACTCCTGTTGGTGACTCCTGTGGGGGAGACTCCTGCTGGTGTCTCCTGTGTGGGGAGACTCCTGCTGGTGTCTCCTGTGTGGGGAGACTCCTGCTGGTGTCTCGTGTGTGTGGGGGGACAACTGCTGGTGACTCCTGTTTACGGTGCATCATTTTCTGAGTTGTTTACTTCATTGTTTGTTACTGTTTGTGAAATTGATATATACAGGAGAGCAAATATAGATATAACGCAAACATGGTCCCAGATATGTCATGTGTTTTGAATGTTAGTTATTACGTAGTGATGTATTTGATATGTTTCTGATTATTTACGGTATTTGAACTGACTTGTATACTATATTTGAATACTCAGGTATATACAGTAACCTAACCTAACCTAACCTAACCTAACCTAACCTAACCTAATTTAATCTTAATATAGGTAACGTTTGATTATTATGTTAAGGTAGGAAAGGATATTTATATTAAAACAGAGTCAATTTTCCTCTAAATGCTCTAATTACCATAACGTCATTACAATAATAAGATAAAAAAAAAAGTTATTCCTATTTCACAATCAAGACATAACAATCACACACTCACATATGCATACACACGGACGCCCAAACTTAAACACACACACACATACAAAATAAACGCACATACGCATACATATACATTTGTTTATACATATACATACCTCTAACAGCCTATGCACTACCCTCACTCTGGCCTTGAGGAAGAAAAAACATTCAAAGGTAAACACTGAAAATTTTCCTTTTGTTTACATATGTTGTGTAAGGGGGGGGTGGGTGAGAGGAGGAAGGGCAGGTGTAGGAGGGGAAGGGAGGGGGGAGAGGAGGAAGGGCAGGTGAGAGGAGGAGAGGAGGAAGGGCAGGGGGAGAGAGGTGGGGTGCGTGTAGGCGGAGGGAAATGGCGAGGAAGATAAGGAGAGAAATGAGTTAATGATGATGATAAGGAGTAAAGATGGTGGTAATGGTGGATAAGTAAGGATGAAGGTAGATGGAGGATGGTAATAAGGATGGAGAGTTAGATTGGATAGGGAGGTTGGTAAGGATGGTTAGGGGATAAGAGGTGAGAGGATGAGAATAAGGAGTTGGGATGGAAATAAAGAGTAATGATGGATAAAATAATGGAGAGTTAGGATGGGGTGGATAAGGATGGGTAGCAGTAAGGATGAGGTGCAGGGGTGGGAGGGATGATAAGGATGGATAGGAGTAAGGATTCACCCCACAAACATCACCCACTACACATCCTACCCATCCTTCAATGACATGATTATAACCAGTCTAATAATATACCATAAACAGTAAACTTTTTTTTTATCATCACAAGACTATGATAACATTGTACATTACGATCATTGAGATATAAAGATAGTTATGTTGTGCTTTGGATACAAGAATTATAAATTTAAAACAAATATTCTATAACTACATGGGAAATATTTTGTATCGTGTTGGTAATAGTTTGTGATGTAATTCATGTTTGTTGATTTTATTTTTAATTGAATTCCTAATTTTAATGAAGGATAGGTCAACGCTCATTTTAATATGTCTACTGTAGCACCACTAATTCACTAGTGCAGGTATACAGTGAGAGGCACTGAGTGACCATGGGCGTGGGCGGGGAAATAAGGCAACCACGCCCATGCGTCATGTGACTCATCCCGCGTCTCAGTCTGCCCATATGAGGAACTGTCTCTCGCATGCCTTGTTGTCTGTTTGTTCTACCATGTTACTGTTCATTATTGTACTAACAGTCATTTCAGTCCTGCCTATGGAATAATGTGATACAAATATACAAATGAAGTTTATTGTAAATGACTAAAACATCGCTAATGCCATCTTACTCTGGGCAACCAATAAGAACCCGTTTACTGCCCGAGTCGACGTGACGTCACGTAGGGTATATAACGTGCCAGTGATGCGCGGGAAGATTCAGACCCTAAACTGCGCTAACCACTCAACGTTAGACGCGACTGGACAAGAGGTTCCTTGGTCTGTCACCAAACTCTCTCTACAAAATGGTGAGTTGTTACTAATTTGTGAGCTGTTTTGAGCGTAGGATACAAACGATATAATGAGATGACTGGTGCGCGATGAAGTTTCATAATGGTGTTTTACGCAATTGTTAACCAATTCTGAGAAAACATTATAATTTCAGTCTACAAGTCTGCCAAAGGATAAGACCAATCGATTTTTGTGTGTTTGTCATCATCAGCAGTTGCTGTTTTGTTTAACTTCATCCCTAAATTCGTAAATAATTACAGTAGATGAGTAAAATAACTTCGGGTGGCAGCAGCGGCCTGGAGAACCCCAGGTGTGTCAACAATGACGTCATCAGCGACGTCTTTATAGTTAGGGGCTGAACCTTTCACTTGCTGGCCAGGCTGCAGGAGAGAGAGAGAGAGATATGAGATACATAGGCGTAAGAAAGAGGAATTGAGGAAAGGAAGGGAGGAGAAAAAAGAAAATAGGTATAAAAAGTAAAAGAAGGGAAGAGAGAGAGAGCACTAGGCAGAAAGGGGTGGGGGTAGGGTTGTCATATTTTAGGGTCAGCTGTTATGTAACTGGGAATTACCATTAGTGGGTGTCACTGTAACGAGAGACTCCCTGTGTTATATCATCGAGACACGTGATGATCTGTATCTTATGTTTACCGGAGGATACAGGATACATATTTTGTTTTGTAACTATTAGAAGACATCATTTAAAATTCTCAAGAAGTTATGCAGTATAAGTAGTAAATGTCTATATGAAGCACATACTTACGTCTCCTCTTAGTTAGGCTTAATTACCTGTCAGTGGGCCATTGTTGTCCTCCATTCTACTCCGGATTCTTTCATTCCTGTTCGTGTCATTTCCTGTCTTCCTCACGATGCCTCTCAACAGTATCATCTGCTTTCATCTCTTCTTGTCATAAACAAACTTTCTGCCCCGTAAGTTAGTAGCTCTTTTAGTATTGCCTCAGTGATAACTTTATTGGCTTCCTGATGTGTCCAAATAATAGGTCAGATTTGTCAATTCATCATCGTCAGATTACTAGCCTCGTCACGGCCTCCCGGAACTGTTAGTTAGTACCACCCAGCACTCTGTGGCCTCCTGAAGGTCACATAATTTGCTTAACCAGTTTCCAGACAGAAGCTGGAAGGCATCAGTCGTTACACCTGTACATGGTTACAGTGTTTATTGTCCCTGGTGGGTATAATACAGTGGCACAAGTAAGGTATTCAGGGTCTTTATTATCTGGCTTAAGGATTACCTGTCTAAGTCGACCTTCACTCTGGTCTAGGCTCTTTATCAACAGAGAGGAAGGGAAGAAGACCAGCAGCTCTCCTTTTGTAGAATATTTAAAGAGAAAATACTGTAAGTCAAAACTTACACACTAGTGGGGCACCTCGTAACATTGTGCTTCAGAAACGTCGGTTGATTTTCACATGAGATATTTTATCATGATCTGCCTGTGAGTATAATTTATTCATTGTACTGCTTCCTTAATATTATATAAACAAATATTGTAGACTCGGCCTCTCTTTATTTCTCCACAAGTATGTACACTTCGCTCACTCGTCCCCTTCGTCTCCAGCGTGAGTGTATCTCCATCCATGTGGGTCAGGCCGGTTGCCAGATGGGCAATGCCTGCTGGGAGCTCTACTGCCTCGAGCACGGTATTGCTCCCGACGGCTCTATCCCCTCCGACAAGGCCCTAGGTAGTGCTGACGACTCCTTCACCACATTCTTCAGCGAGACTGGCGCAGGCAAGCACGTCCCCAGGGCGGTGTTTGTCGATCTTGAGCCTTCCGTTGTCGGTGAGTCCATCTGAACTTATTCGGTGTTGCTGTGTGTTTACTGTAGTGTGTACAGTATATGTAGTATAGCCTCATGGAAAGTTTCTTTAATGAATCAATGATGTGAAATACTTATAAGGTTTAAATACAACACCTAAGATTATTTTATACGCAATATCTTAACCCAGATTACAATCTCTAATGCACAATAGTTTTCTTACAGATGAAGTCCGTACCGGCACCTACCGCCAGCTGTTCCACCCAGAGCAGCTCATCAGCGGAAAAGAAGACGCCGCCAACAACTACGCCAGAGGACACTACACTATCGGAAAGGAGCTCGTCGACTTGGTTTTGGATCGTATCAGGAAGCTGGCCGACAGCTGCACAGGTCTGCAAGGATTCCTCGTCTTCCACTCCTTTGGCGGCGGCACCGGCTCAGGTTTCACCTCTCTGTTGATGGAAAGACTGTCTGTCGACTACGGCAAGAAGAGCAAACTGGAATTCGCTATCTACCCCGCCCCCCAAGTCGCTACTGCCGTTGTTGAACCCTACAACTCTATCCTGACCACCCACACTACTCTGGAACACTCCGACTGTGCCTTCATGGTCGACAATGAAGCCATCTACGATATCTGCCGCAGAAACCTGGACATCGAACGTCCCTCATACGCTAACCTGAACCGTCTTATTGGCCAGATCGTCTCCTCCATCACCGCCTCCCTCAGGTTTGATGGTGCCCTCAATGTCGACCTCACTGAATTCCAGACCAACTTGGTGCCCTACCCCAGGATCCACTTCCCTCTAGTCACTTATGCCCCCGTCATCTCCTCTGAGAAGGCCTACCACGAACAGATCACCGTTGGTGAGATCACCAACGCCTGCTTCGAACCCGCTAACCAGATGGTGAAATGCGACCCACGTCACGGCAAGTACATGGCTTGTTGCCTCCTGTACCGTGGTGACGTCGTGCCTAAGGACGTGAACGCCGCCATCGCCTCCATCAAGACCAAGCGCTCCATCCAGTTCGTAGACTGGTGTCCCACCGGCTTCAAGGTTGGCATCAACTACCAGCCACCCACTGTGGTGCCAAACGGTGACCTGGCCAAGGTGTCTCGTGCCGTCTGCATGTTGTCCAACACCACCGCTATCGCCGAGGCCTGGGCCCGTCTCGACCATAAGTTCGACCTGATGTACGCCAAGCGTGCCTTCGTCCACTGGTACGTGGGTGAGGGTATGGAGGAGGGCGAGTTCTCCGAGGCCCGCGAGGACCTGGCAGCTCTCGAGAAGGACTACGAAGAGGTTGGCCTTGACACCGTTGGTGACGAGGAGCAGCAGGGCGAAGACTACTAGGCTGACCCACAAGTTGGCTAACGGCAAACACGCCAGCGGACGTAACACCTCCGCTAAGTCATTGGTTAAAGCTTTACTCTACTTTTAGGCCCCAGTAAATACTCTGTTCGGATCTTATCAGAAATTAAAATATATTGTTATCAGTCTCTTGTTTTATTTTGTACTTATAATGTTGCTTGGTCATTAATAAATCCACAAGTGTATAACATAACCACCACCAAATGTTCATTGTGATATATTCTAATATTTTATTACCAAAGGTTGGACACTGTTAGTGTTATAACGTCACCTGTAATCCGGACTACTTGAGACTATAACTCAGGCAGTCAAAAGCAGAAAGTAGTTTTTGACTGATATCTTGTGTACTGTTCAACAGGAACATATCTGAAGTAGATATAATCATAATAAAAAAAACGGTCTGTGGAGATGTGATAAAGGATTAGTACTTAAGCTTGGCGCTCTCTTATCTTTACACACCAGTAATAGACGATCTCCCATAACCCCTTCACTACGGGGACGCCACATTTAATACTTTATTTGGTTAGCGCCAGGCGATTTTATTCATCAGAGAGAGCCCCCCTATACAGGTGGTTAGTAGACGATGTCCTTTAGGGCAGGAGATTAAAGGATTTATTAAATTAAATAGTACAGCGACAAAAACATAACCCAAGACACATCTAAGAAGGTAACAACACAGCTCTGGTCAACCACGTATATTAACATACTCACTTGTAACAACTTCTCTCCTCACGCTATCGATTCATTCATAAAGTGATGCCGACGTTATCACATGTTCGGAAAAGTCACCGAGGGGCGGAACACTATACCTGTGGGCAACTGTACAAACACTGACCTCCGCTGTGTTGAAACAGGATGGGTGTGGGAGAATTAATTGTCGCCAGCAGGATGACAAATATGACGTCACCATCAGTAGAAGTGTATAAAGACTAAAATGAGAGTCGCATGTCATTCATTCGAGGCCAACCAACTGTAACTCTGCTTCAACTCTTAAGGATTTGTTATAAAGTTACAAATATTTGTCCTCTAACTCAAAGATACACATAAATTTTGAGAACTATCACAAGGACATAATACCATCCCCAGACAATGCAGCAAACTTCCATGATTCCAGGACAGGTCACGTGTTGCAGATGTGAGTCATGGCGGACCAGGTGTTATTGACGGCTTCTTCAGACACTAAGACCGTGACAGGAATATGATGAACTATTAATTTTAAAGACTACCAACAGGAGGCAAGAAAAAGACACTGGCATCAAAGTTTGTGGTGTTCAAATAGGGAGTGATATAGTTCTTAAAAATCCCACCGGGGGGGCAACACCTACCAACACACTGCACTACACTAGTTCAGTTACTGTGGTGATGTTAACCAGAAGTAATATTTACAGCTTGCTACAGGGGACCAGACCATCCGGAAATATTTCACTATATTGTAAGATCTCTGCCACACGTGTAATAAATTTAAAGTAAGTTGGTTTAGGCGTTGTGAAGGTATTGCCATCAAAGACACACAAAGCGAAAAACATTAAATTCACAGAAAATTTGGTTCAATGATTAAAAGTCTGGGATCACAGTGGGGTAAATCTGAACAAGTAGGAAGAAGGTCCCCCTTATAATACTCAGATGACATGACTTCAAGTGGTGATGAAGTGTCACCAATAAGCTCTTAAGATCACAGGCCCCTCTTCTATTCTACCAAATTTAATCGTAATTTGGTTTACGAGTTTTATCAGAGAGAGAGAGATAAAATTAAAATTAAAATTCTCGACTATCCAGGGGAAAAATAATACATTTCCTCTGTGTCATGCATGTCAATTTTTGCATTGATGAGATCTGTGGTTCTGGTAAATAAATTTTTCTTGGGTATTTTCAGAATAATTTAGTAAACGCAAGATAACGCGGGGTGACCAGGTGCCACAATTTTTAACAATCTGTACAGCATCCTAATTAACTTACAGACGTGACGCTGTTTGTCACGAGTTTACAGATCAGCCACAGATGCGTATTGTAACCAAACACAAACTACAGTACACAACAGGTATAGACAATGTCTATTATCTGGTGGCCGCGACTCTGACCCCCATTATGGGAGTCGCCAATAATGTTATAACTCATATTTCTTGTAGCGCGGCCACTATGGTAGCTTATTGGTAGTGTGGCCACTATGGTAGCTTATTGGTAGTGTGGTCCCTACTGCCTCAGTTTATTGGTAGTGTGGCCATTACGGTAGCTTACTAATAGTGTGGCCACTACTGCAGCTTACTGGTAGTGAGGCCACTGTGGCAGCTTATTGTTTTACTGTCACGAAAACATTTTTATCCTAGTCTCTGGTGACCAAGTAGAATAATTCCCATCTTTCACAGTACAACACTAGACTAAGTACTTAAAAAATAAATCGTTAATTTTTTAGCCTTTCTCTATGATTTTGATTGGGTACCATGACAACCTTCATTATATACCTTAAATCACGTAATAAGTAATTTTTATTGTTTAGTAGTGAGCATCTGAAGGCTGTAGTGTCTTCTGTGTGCATAAAATAACTGTAGGGTACAATACATTGGAATATAATATCGAATTGTTTACGTTCACTCTGTTGTCTCATAACCAGGGAACACTTGTGGCCTCATGCAGACTCAGCAGGCAGTGATGCTCCCAGTCTCACTCTAGACACAAGAAATTATAATATTTATCTCACGAAATTATTCTCTATCATCCTGAAGACACTCCACAACCCAGAGTAAACAAACCCACCTTCAGGAGTGTAGCGTATTTGTTGCAACGTCAAGATGTAGTCAAGTTAATATCACCTTATGAGGATATCTTTTGTATGGAGATTTGTCCTTGTGTATAACTTTATTTTTCATCGGTTCCAGTGTGAAAATGCATTATTTCTTTATTTATTCTTCTCCATATGAATGTTTACAGTAGGCACGTGTATCTCTCTCAAAGCATAAACCTCAGATGGTGTCACACTGTCTATAAAAAGAAGTGACTGACATTCATATCCTGTTATACAAATACTACATGTTTATCTTCGCGTCTGCTGACATCTTGTTCAAATGGATTGTATGTATGGTGCTGCCGCCGTGTGTGTATAAGTAAAGCTTATGTCTCCATCTAGTGACACAATATCTCATAAAGGTGAAGCAATATACAACACCATTCAATATAACTTTCGTTCCTGGCTACACATCACACACTGTACTTGTATTTTATGTTATTGGTGGTTTCTTATATTCTTCTACTGGTTTTCCTAATTTTCCAGTCAACTGAAGGACATTCTCCATCAAGTCTTCTGTATTCTTTAAGGAGTGGACAGTCAAACACCTACTGTAATGTGGCCAGGCGGGAAGAAAGAGGAATTTTGCAGGGTTTGAAGTGACATCTGTGTTAAAAGCTGCCCGTACACTGTGATATTATTACTTAAACAAAATAATGATAATTTTCACAATAAATCACAAAGAAATATTAAAAAGTTTGTTGATAGTTCTATAGAAGAACAGCATCATGGCTTTTTGTAGCAAGCCTTTGCAAACCATTCATATATATGGAAGTTTATTTCTGTGATAGAGGTGACAGTCTGAACGAGCTGCGTACTGAGCACTGCTTGAGCGGTGAGGAACCTATTGGTCAGAACAAAATTCGATATTGTGGAGACGAGAATCGTCACTGCGCTTCAGCCAACAAATAATATGAATGATTATTATTTGCATGATAGAGCACATAACGGAAATTAGAAAATGAGTATTTACACTCGAGCGTAAATATATCCTGCACGTTATTTGTCACCGGTCACCATGAGTCTTATTTACAAAATTAAATGCACAAAATACATAATTTACTCCCGTTAGGTTCGCCATTCTGGTTTATTATTATTATTATTATTATTATTATTATTATTATTATTATTATTATTATTATTATTATTATTATTATTATTATTATTATATTTTCGCCCCCAGGCCCTGTGCCTGGATATTTTTATATCAAACATCAAGGTGAAAACCCGCAGTTCAAAGCATTAAGCACGACATAACTATTGAGAAGACTACTTGATGACCGATTACTTTGGTCACTAGTAGAAAGTTTATAACATTATTTTACAACTTTATTCCTTTGAAGTTAGAGGTTCCCCGAACGCCCCCCTCCCGGATCCACGTCTGATTTATATTAAGTACTGAAGGGATAGTGAGAATGATGCAAATTAAGTCTACCTTACAGACCTATTCTGTACATTTTCTATGAAAAAATCGCGATTCATTGAAGAAAATTTGCTTGCTTGGACAGACTATACAAAATATTGTTATGAATTTGTTTTAAAGATTATATGCTACTTTGATTCTCATCACGGTAAAGAAAGATGAGTCTTTATGTGAAAATGAATCCCTTGCTCTTATTGACAGGGGTAATGGGAAAATTAAAACCTGGTGTATATAGTGTACTCTCTCTTGTTACTAGTAGCGCGATTATTTACTTAGGACCGCCATTATTTTATAAAATCGTACGTCTTCAGATATTTCAGATTTTTTTCGAATGAATGTTAAAATTGTAAGAGTCATTCAGGGATAAATAAGACCATGAGTTGATAGCAAAATAATTTAATTTTCTCTCTGTTTCCGAAATGGTATTTTATTGGGCCTAATGATATGGTAAAGCTTTAACCAATGACTTTGCGGAGGTGTTGCATCCGCTGGCGTGTTTGACGTTAGCCAACTTGTGGGTCAGCCTAGTAGTCTTCGCCCTGCTCCTCCTCGTCACCAACGGTGTCAAGGCCAACCTCTTCGTAGTCCTTCTCGAGAGCTGCCAGGTCCTCGCGGGCCTCGGAGAACTCGCCCTCCTCCATACCCTCACCCACGTACCAGTGGACGAAGGCACGCTTGGCGTACATCAGGTCGAACTTATGGTCGAGACGGGCCCAGGCCTCGGCGATAGCGGTGGTGTTGGACAACATGCAGACGGCACGAGACACCTTGGCCAGGTCACCGTTTGGCACCACAGTGGGTGGCTGGTAGTTGATGCCAACCTTGAAGCCGGTGGGACACCAGTCTACGAACTGGATGGAGCGCTTGGTCTTGATGGAGGCGATGGCGGCGTTCACGTCCTTAGGCACGACGTCACCACGGTACAGGAGGCAACAAGCCATGTACTTGCCGTGACGTGGGTCGCATTTCACCATCTGGTTAGCGGGTTCGAAGCAGGCGTTGGTGATCTCACCAACGGTGATCTGTTCGTGGTAGGCCTTCTCAGCGGAGATGACGGGGGCATAAGTGACTAGAGGGAAGTGGATCCTGGGGTAGGGCACCAAGTTGGTCTGGAATTCAGTGAGGTCGACATTGAGGGCACCATCAAACCTGAGGGAGGCGGTGATGGAGGAGACGATCTGACCAATAAGACGGTTCAGGTTAGCGTATGAGGGACGTTCGATGTCCAGGTTTCTGCGGCAGATATCGTAGATGGCTTCATTGTCGACCATGAAAGCACAGTCGGAGTGTTCCAGAGTAGTGTGGGTGGTCAGGATAGAGTTGTAGGGTTCGACAACGGCAGTAGCGACTTGGGGGGCGGGGTAGATAGCGAATTCCAGTTTGCTCTTCTTGCCGTAGTCGACAGACAGTCTTTCCATCAACAGAGAGGTGAAACCTGAGCCGGTGCCGCCGCCAAAGGAGTGGAAGACGAGGAATCCTTGCAGACCTGTGCAGCTGTCGGCCAGCTTCCTAACGCGGTCCAAAACCAAGTCGACGATCTCCTTTCCGATAGTGTAGTGTCCTCTGGCGTAGTTGTTGGCGGCATCTTCCTTTCCGCTGATGAGCTGCTCTGGGTGGAACAGCTGGCGGTAGGTGCCGGTACGGACTTCATCTGAAGGCAAAGAAAAATAGTAGAAATTAGTTTCAAAGAACGTTCACTAAGAGCATATCAGTTATGTAGGCAAGTCAACTTCTCTGACGTACTTGTTGAAAATATTACGCATATTAGACACGTGTGTACATTTGTATGAGGCATCAAATGTTCTGTAATACAAACAGTAAACTCACCGACAACGGAAGGCTCAAGATCGACAAACACCGCCCTGGGGACGTGCTTGCCTGCGCCAGTGTCGCTGAAGAATGTGGTGAAGGAGTCGTCAGCACTACCTAGGGCCTTGTCGGAGGGCATAGAGCCGTCGGGAGCAATACCGTGCTCGAGGCAGTAGAGCTCCCAGCAGGCATTGCCCATCTGGCAACCGGCCTGACCCACATGGATGGAGATGCACTCACGCTGGAAAGGAACAAACATGGGTTAGACATTGTAAGATATAGAGAGCCTATGATGCATCAAATACTAAAGAAATTAAATATGTTATACCTTGATGCAACCGATGTTTTCTGTTGACTGAAATGACGTGAGGGAATGAAAATATCTCTAAAATATACGTCATCGTTTCCTGAGGATGTGGCCTCAGACATGACCATCCTGTGTCGTCATTGTGTATGTTAAGTTATTGATAAAACATATTCCTCGAGGTTTAAGTCAGGCGTTGGAGGATGGAGCCCTACCAAGCTGTGGGTATCCTGTGGGGGGGGGGTGGCAATAGAAGGAATTGATGGATTGGTGTGATGAAGATGGAGTAATGGAAAGATGTGGGTGATAATGAAGAAAAGATGATTATAGAAATTGGTGATTATTGGAGGTGGTGGTGGTGACAGGTGCGGGTGGTGACGGCGAGGGCGATGGACACTGGTTCAAGGCTACAGGGTGTGTGGGAGGCGGGGCCAACACCCAGTCACCCGGGGCCCGCTGCTGCCCTAGTTACTGTTACCTATGGTGACGTGTTAAGTGCCTTTCAATATCTTTTCTTCTTACTCATTAATTGAGTTAATGATATAATGTTGGTGGTGTAATGGTGTCTAACAGTTTACTTTCATGGATCACTACATATTATTTGTTGCACCTTAGTGACGGGCTGAGTTGGGGGGGCATGGTGGCAAAGGGGTAGATGATGATGAAAGAGGAGGATTGGGGGTGATGGTGCTGGGCGGGGGGGTGGGTGGGTAGTTCAAGAGGAGGTGAAAGGATGGGGAGGTGTAGTGGCACCAGCTGGGTTCACCCTTATGACCAAACATTCCTAATTCTCCACCTTCCTTTTATCACCATTTATCCAGTTTCTCTTTCCCTACATTTATCATAATTTAAATTGTATAATAAACCATAGATAAACGTGGAAGGACACAGGGAAGTGAGATAACTGAAGAGATAGAGGAACAGGTGGCGGGGAGTGGTGCTGGCACTAACTTTCTCTTGTTCCCGGGGGGGGGGGGGGCACCTGTTGCCCTGCCCAAGTCAATTGTCACCTGGGTACATCATTCTCCTTCTAAAACACTTCAAACATACTGACAGCGCATGTATATAGATATAGATAAATTGTTAAGACTGGTGGAATCATTTAGCAAGGCGGTTAAAGCACGTTTTAATACGCAAAAGATATGACTTACAGATACTTTTACTGTCACTGTAGAAAGCAAGGTGATGGTGCGGTTGTAATGTACATCTATACGATCATGTAATTGTTTTGAAATATTATTTTTTCTTTTACGTAATTGAGTCATTGAACTTAGATGCGAAGATCGTGATGATACTGTGAGCAAGATTGACTTTTTTCAATGAAATAAAAAGGTAATTTAACCACATAGTGATTGAGGTTATTTTTAGTGATGTGTCAAGAACTTTCGAGAGGTTTAGTAACATTTGGAACAGCACTTTTTTCTTTCATTACATCACTATATCAGGTAATTACTACACTATATGTCGCTTGTATAGAATATCTTTCACCTTTAGTACAGTTGAATAAATAGATAAACACTTACCATTTTGATTGTAATTTGTTGGGTGAGCAGGGATGACAAGGACTGACCGCGTCTAACGATATGGAGTTAGCGCAGCAAAGTACAGCTGAGGGGGCCGTGCCCTCCGTATATATAGCCTCTATGACGTCACATGAACGTGGGCACTCACAGCCCTGTGATTGGTTGATACACTCCGGGGAGTGAAGGACTTTTACCAACGTAGGCGAACACGTAGGTGCCCGTGTGTGTATGTGTGTGTGTGTAAGTGTCCCGATAGCAGTGCTGCTGTGGCTATAAACCCTTTATCATTAGCTTAACATCAATAAACTTTCTTATATAACCTTGGGAACGTCAGGGAATTAAGTGAAATTGTAAAGGATCTCCATATTGAGGGAGATATCAAGGTGGGTTGCGACAGAGGGAGGCAAGTGTCTCCATAAGGGCATGGCTGAGGTGACGCTGATTCATGGTATAGTGGGCGGGTCCCTCCCCCCCTCCCCCACTCCTCCCTCTCACTCTCACAAGGAGGTTAGGCCCCATGTAGGACAACTTTTCCTTGATTCCTAGGTAGGCAAATCAAGTTAATTTCTCTCATATTAAAAGAAATAAATCGCTTTTTGAGAGTGTAAACACGATTGTTATCTTGTTACCAATGACGACCTGTAATGAGAGTGGTTGTGAGTTCTGGGGGGTGAAGGAGTGTGTGAGGTGCCATATGGACAGTCTTCTCCCTCATATTTGGTTATATCTGCCAGGGTAACCATTCTACCCCCTCCCTCCCCTTTCCCTCCTCCTATCTGGTGTACTGTTGTGTTCATCTCCTGTGCCTCTCTTCTACACACGTGCCCACACCTGCCCTCCCTCCACACACACATGCCCACACCTGCCCATACATACACCTGCCCCCACACACACACACTGCCCCCCATACACCTGCCCCCCATACACACCTGCCCCCCATACACACCTGCCCCCATACACACACCTGCTCCCCCCCATACACACCTGCTCCCCATACACACACCTCCCCCACACACCTGCCCCCCACACACACCTGCCCCCCACACACACCTGCCCCCACACACACACACACCTCCCCACACACACACACACCTGCCCCCCCCACTGCCCCCCGACGCCTGCCCCACACCTGCCCCCCACACACCTGCCTCCCCTCCCCACACACACCTGCCCCTCCACACACACACACACCTACATAAACCTGAAAGAATATACGCCTGAAAGCATATTTACCTGCCCACACGTACAGCTACACACACACACACACACACACACACACACACACACCATTATCTCACCATGACACTGGCCACATAAGGTAATCTCAGAGCCTTCAGTATACTTCTTAATTAATACAGGTAAATCATAGATAAATAGTAAATAAAATAAAAGTAAATAAAGAAATATATAAACATGATATATAGATAGATAGATAGATAGATAGATAGATAGATAGATATGAAATACTTGAGAAAATAGATGAATAAATAAACAGGGAGATTAATGAAGCAATAAATGTATGGAATAATTAAAGGAACAGATAAATGGTATATTATCTTTGTTCATTTAATCGGACAATATCTTCGTCTTTTCATAATCTTATTCTTCTTGTTCTGTCTCTCTGTTTCTTCAATCTATTCTTTATCTTGCCTTTATTAGTCTCTCGCTCTCTCTGGTATTGTTTTCCTTTCGTTTTTTTTATTTTATTTTATTTTTTTACTTTTTACGGGATTAGCCCACCCAGGCACAGGTCACTGACCCACATCGGGGCCTGGGGGGCGAAAATGTAATAATAATAATAATAATAATAATAATAATAATAATAATAATAATTCATAGTAAATAAAATTTATAATAAAAAATAATGATAATAATAATAATAATAATAATAATAATAATAATAATAATAATAATAATAATAAAGAACCATAAATTAAAAAAAATTAAAAAATATCAAAAGTGTGTTGTCAATAGTAAGAGAAACAATTAAGACCGTGCAATTGTGTGTAAATGAGGCAGAAAGTCAGATCAGCAACCTGGGACTTGGTCACAATTTTCGTGATGCCATATGGCAGCAGGGTCTACCATTAGAGAACACATTATGCTTCCAATATCTTCCCAGGCGGTAGTACCTCCCTGTTTGGTGGCTGCCTATTACCTGCTACCTACATCAGTCGTTACACAGTCGTTTTCGCTTTATTGCTTGATTTAGTTTTTTACGCTCTCTCTCTCTCTCTCTCTCTCTCTCTCTCTCTCTCTCTCTCTCTCTCTCTCTCTCTCTCTCTGTGTCGTCGTCGTCTACCTGTACTTTCTCCTCTCCTCCATAACCTTGACTCCACTTTCTCTCCTTCACCATCTCGTACCCTTCTTCATCTTCTCTCTCTTATCATCTCCTCTTCCTCCTTCTCTCCCTTGCCATCCTCCTCCCACGCTTCATCGTCACTTTCATGTTTAAGGTTCTCTGGTCACGGGGGCACACATGAAACACAAGATCATCAACACACACACACACACACAAGCACCACAGGTGATACAACACAGATGCCATAGCAAAAATGTTGCAACAGTAGTGCCACAACACATAAGTTACTTTACAGGTATTATGGCAATTTTACAAAGTTTTACACTATACGTATCGAATTAAATGTGTTACAATATTTATGCCGAAACACATGTGTTATAGTTTATGTGTTACAAAACAGGTACCATGACACAGGTATTACACTATACTTAGGTACCATAACATAAGTGTTATAACTCAGGCGCAGTAACACAAACCTTATATATGTTTAACAAAGAAGGTGTTTAAGCACAAGTCTTACAACAAACACACTATAAAATAGATGTTCAACCAGTGGTACCACCACTGGTGCCACTGTCCTTGTGTTACAAACAGGTGTGAGAACTCGTGAATTATAGCGCTGGTGTTACTACTGTTGTCCAAATAAATTTATGATGACAATAATGGTACAGCTCTGGTGTTATAACAATAACTCTGACACTGTGACAACTGTGACACAATTCACAATATAGTTATTTTAACCCTTGGTGTTATAAAATTGGTGTCTTAACTCTAGTAACACAACGTCGGTATGAGAGCTCTTGTGTTACTTGTGTAAATACAAATGGAACAAAACCAACAAGACACAAACAACCATTAAACACACAGTAAACACCAACACCAACCAGCGGCCGTCATATACAACATACAGGAGAGTTACCTGCAGGTTGGGTGTAGGCGAGGCTGTGGGCGAGGTGTAGGCGAGGATGTGGGCGAGGTGTAGGCGAGGATGTGGGCGAGGGTGTGGGCGAGGTGTAGGCGAGGGTGTGGCGGGATTTAAGTGGTCCGCCCTCAGCAGGGTACTCCACCCTCCTCACCACTTCCCTGTGTGTGTGTACCCCACACACCTGCCCCGGCTGTTTGTGGCCATGGCGTCACCCTAAACGAGGTAGTGACTGTAGTCTTGTGCACAACTTTTAAATACAATCCTACTATTACTATTTTTTTCCAATATGGTCACCATCTTCCAACTATTATCACTACTACTACTACTACGACATTTTTTTTAACGTGGCCTCCAGCCTCCCCCAATAGCCACACCTTCGCCGCCATTTTATTACCTTAATATTAAATATCCTAATACATAAGTAGCTACCCTGGCTGTGTTGAGTTAGTTGAGCCGCAGATCTATGCGGCATTCAGTGACTGTTGCCTCATAGTCAATATCTGCAACTGTTGTCGGCTTTGGGGCCGATGTTCTTGTTCCCCTGAGGCAGAGCAAAGCCGACAATTACTACTACTACTACTACTACTACTACTACTACTACTTTTTTTTTTTTACGTGGCCTCCAGCCTCCCCCAATAGCCACACGTTCGCCACCATTTAATTACCTTAATATTAAATATTACTACCACTACTACTACCACTACTAATAATAATAACATTATCATCGACGTCCATACACATCTTTCAACAAGAGAAAACATAACTCCACCCTTGAAGTTTACCCTGACGTCACCCTTGTGGTAATTTAATGTATGTCATCCTTGAGACTCTTTAAGTGTATATAGATCTTTACTATCACCTTATATACCCTGTTTAACTAGGTTCGTTACGTCATTTTATACACCCTAGGTACTCTGTTTTTCTTGAGATATGACGTTACTTTACCCTCTACTACAGGTGAGAGATTTAAATAGCTGGATTAAATGTTAAGTAAGGGCGAGAACTGTAATTGACACTTCCATTGGCAAAATACAGGTAACGCCAGGTGTAAAGTTCAGGTAGGTGATTTATAAGTTCAGGTAGGTGGAGAGGGTAGGAGGACAGGTGAGGATTTTAAGTGGGAGGTTTACAAAGGACACTACACACTGTTATAACCCGTGTTTGGTGCAACAGGGTGGAGGTGACCGTCTCTTGTCGTCTGAGGCCTACATGACTGACCGGCTTATTTGGCTGTGCTATAAGGCATTGAACACATTCGAGGACCCATGTAGTTGTTGTTTACCTGTGTCTGTGTGTCTGTTGTTGTGCTGTGTATGTGTACTTATGTTCCATCTGATCCATTCTGTTGTCATCCCTGTCTGTCTCTTGCTAAGTCTGTCCTCTCACACCAGGTCATGTCCGTCGTCTCACTCTCAAGGGCCTTCAGGTAGTCCTCGGTCGTTCCCGTGGTCTCTGCCCCTCCACTCTCCCGTACATCATCTTCCTTTGGTAATCTGTCCTCTCCCCGCCTTAACTGTGCGTCTCTCACTCTGTAGAATATCGGTATCCGTAAGCCTGATAATTCTCACATTAAGTCGTTTTTTTTTACTATAGAACCAATGGATCTTACAGGTTCTCCTCAAACAATGTATTTCAAAGGGGAGTAATTTATTTTTTTTCATAGAGTTTCTCTGTTTAACTCTGAGCCATAAATTACTGTCGATAGTAAACTGGTACAGCTTAACTTTCAGGCTCTTCCTTATAGTATCATCTTTCCATATTTTGTGTACGGTAATTTATTCATTGCAACATGGCCCCATTTAATTATTTCACATTTCATCCTTTATTCAACCTTTTCTTACGTAAACCGCACTCCCAGATACTTGTTGTACGTC